CCCAGTGCCCACCAGTGGACTCATCGGCGGCCAGGATGCCCTTTCCGGGTGCCACGATGCGCTGGGCGATGGCCGCCAGCTCCTTCTTCTGCTCGGGGGTGAGGGCGGGCACGGGGGGCGTCATGGCGGCGGCACTGAGGGGAGAAGGGGGGCGCGGGGTGATGACGTCGAGCGTGATGTCATTGGGGAGCGACGCGACCACCAACCCCCGAGGGGAGGGGGGAAAGGAGGGGATTTGGGGGGTTTGGGGGAATTTGGGGGGGGTTCCCAGGATTTGGGGGATCTCAGGATTTGGGATCTCCCAGGATTTGGAATATCCCGGGATTTGGGAAGAGCAGAGGGGGAGGGGGGCAATATCCCAGGATTTTGGGATCTCCCAGGCTTTGGGAGGATCTCCCAGGATTTGGGGGGTTATCCCAGGATTTGGGGGAATACCCAGGATTTGGGATCTCCCAGGATTTGGGGGTGCAGGAATCCCAGGATTTGGGAAGGGCGGGGGGGGATTTCCAGGATTTGGGGGCATCTCCCAGGATTTGGGGGGAGAATCCCAGGATTTGGGGGGATCTCCCAGGATTTGGGGGAGAATTCCAGGATTTGGGATCTCCCAGGATTTGGGGGAATATCCCAGGATTTTGGGATCTCCCAGGATTTTGGGATCTCCCAGGGTTTGGGATTTCCCAGGATTTGGGGGGAGAATCCCAGGATTTGGGGGAATATCCCAGGATTTGGGGGAATATCCCAGGATTTGGGGGGAGAATTCAAGGATTTGGGATCTCCCCGGATTTGGGGGAATATCCAGGATTTGGGATCTCCCCGGATTTGGGGGAATATCCCAGGATTTGGGGGTGCAGGAATCCCAGGATCTGGGAAGGGCAGGGGGGGGAATATCCCAGGATTTGGGATCTCCCAGGCTTTGGGATCTCCCAGGATTTGGGGGGATATTCCAGGATTTGGGGGGAGAATTCCAGGATTTGGGGGGTTATCCCAGGATTTGGGATCTGCCAGGATTTTGGGATTTCCCAGGATTTGGGGGGAGAATTCAAGGATTTGGAATCTCCCAGGATTTGGGGGAATATCCCAGGATTTGGGGGGATCTCCAGGGATTTGGGATCTCCCAGGATTTGGGATCTCCCAGGATTTGGGGTCTCCCAGGATTTGGGGGGAGAATTCCAGGATTTGGGGATCTCCCAGGATTTGGGATCTCCCAGGATTTGGGGGGATATTCCAGGATTTGGGTGGAGAATCCCAGGATTTGGGGGGAGAATTCCAGGATTTCGGGGGATCTCCCAGGATTTGGGAGTGCAGGAATCCCAGGATTTTGGGAAGGGCAGGGGGGGGGGATATTCCAGGCTTTGGGATCTCCCAGGATTTGGGGGGAGAATTCCAGGCCTTGGGATCCCCCTGGATTTTGGGAAGGGGGGGGGGTGTCACCCACCGGCCGTTCCGGGGGGTTCCGGTTCCTTTGGGATCCGAGTTGGGAATGAGGAAATTCGGGATCGGGAGTGTGGGAAAAGCCGGGAATGGCCCCTCCCCCCTCCCCAAGGGCGTTTCAAGGGGAGGAGGAGGAGGAGGAAAAGGAGGAAGAAAAACCGGGAAGGGGCCCCTCCCCCACCCTCCTCCTCCCCTCCCCCACCCGGCCCCGCCCCTTGCGCCCCAAAATCTGCCCTTTTCACCCCAAAATCTGACACTTCTCACCCCAAATCTGACCCTTTTCACCCCCAAAAATGCAAATTTCACCCCCAAATTTGCCATTTTTACCCCAAATCTGCCACTTTTTACTCCAAATCAGACCCTTTTCACCCCCCAATCTGACCCTTTTCACCCTCAAAAATGCAAATTTCCCTCCCAAATCGGCCCCTTCTACCCCAAAATCTGCCCTTTTCACCCCAAAATCTGCCTTTTTTACCCCAAATCTGACTCCAGACCCCAAAATTCCTCTTTTCACCCCAAATCTGCCCTTTTTGCCCCAAAATGTGCCCTTTTCACCCCCAAATCTGCCACTTTTCACCCCAAATCTGACACTTTTCACCCCAAATCTGACCCTTTTCACCCCAAATCTGACTCCACACCCCAAA